TATATATATATTATAATATATATATTATGAGTAAAACTTATGTCAACTTAAGTGGACGTCCACTAAGTTTCTTAGTCATTGATGATCACTTGATTGACATACATTATGGATGATCCGCTCCGTTGAACTTGATCTACATATTCTAAAACCCCAACACACCAAATTTGGGGTGAACCAGTAAAACTTGTGTCAACTTAAGTGGACGTCCACTAAGTTTCTTAGTCATTGATGATCACTTGATTGACATACATTATGGATGATCCGCTCCGTTGAACTTGATCTACATATTCTAAAACCCCAACACACCAAATTTGGGGTGAACCCGTCGTGGTTTGATCATTCATCAACTCGTATCAATTTTAACGATTTCGAATGAATAGAACTTTTTACATGACTCGAAACCGTTAAAATTGATACGAGTGGATGAAGGGTCAAACCACGACGGGTTCACCCCAAATTTGGTGTGTTAGGGCTTTAGAATTTGTAGATGAAGTTCAACGGAGCCGATCATCCACAATGTATGTCAATTAAGTGATCATCAATGACTAAGAAACTTAGTGGACGTCCACTTAAGTTAACATAAGTTTTTCTATATATGAGTAAAACTTATATCCACTTAAGTGGATAGGAGGCCTTGTCCACCGAACTTTTTATCCACTCATCTTATTTCAAGATTTGTACCATCAAAAGATGCACAAATCTTAAAAGATTCTTCAATGACTAAGAAACCTAGTGGACGTCCATTTAAGTTGACATAAGTTTATATAATATAATATAATATATATTATAATATATAGTATAATATATATATATCATATATATATATTAATAATAATATTATATAATCATAATAATAGGATAGAGAGAAGAAGAAGGAGAGAAGAGATTAATGTACCTTGTCATATCGGAGGGGATCCCTCCTTGAGCCTCTAAAGATCCCATATGAGCGACATTGATGGATATCCGCTCGTTGACTTGACTACATACTTCTAAAACCAATCACAAGCAAGTTTGGGTGAATCTAGTCGTCGTTTGACCTCAGTCAGCCATGTGAAAACGTCTATATTCATTCAAAACCGTTAAATTGATACGAGGTGGATGAAGGAAGTTAATCGACGACAGTTCACCCCAAACTTGGTTGTTGGAGTTTTTAGAAATTTAGATCTAAATTCAACGGAAGCGGATCCATCCACAATCGCTCAATGCATGTGATTTTAGAGGCGTAGAGGAAATCCCCCTATGAAAAGGATACCCATCTAATTCAGTATACATAATATATATATATTATCATATATATATAGTATATATATACGTCTATATACTTATATATAGTATATATAGTATATATATAGAGAGAGAAGGAGAGAGAAGGAGAGAGCAGATCATTGGGATATCTTCTTACGTCAATAGAGGAGATTTTTTCCTTGTCTTCTTATGTGACACAATCCCACCCCTCATAAAGTAGGCACAAATCTCACCAAACTCAACCACTTCTCTTCTACGTTTATATAAGGATGGCTGGGATTTGCTCACATGAAGACGTCAAGGAGGAAATCTCTCTATGACGGATTACTTATATAATACTAGTAATATAAATATATATACTATATATATGATATATATATATATATACTTATACTATATATACTATATCTAATGAGATTAATGAGTATCCTTTCATAGGAGGGATTTTCTCTTGACAGCCTCTAAAACTCACATGAGTTGCGCGACATTGCTGGATGATCCGCTCCGTTTGAACTTGATCATACTATTCTAAAACCCCAACACACTTCAAGTTTGGGAGTGACCCGTGTCGTTTGACTCTTATCAGCCATCGTATACATTAAGGTTTTGAATGAATAGAGGTTGAACTGTTACGCATGGCTCGATGAGGGTCAAAACGACGACGGATTCACCCAACTCTTGATGGTATGGGAGTTAGTATTATCTAGATCAAGTTCAACGAAGCGATATCCATGAATGTCGCGTTTAAACATGTGATTATTAGAGGTCAAGGAGAAATCCCCTCCTATGACAGGATACCCATTAATCTCTTCACGACACACACTCTCTCTCTATACTCTACTCTCTCCTAGTATAATTATATATAAATAATATATGATATTTAATATATACTATAAATTATATATATATGATGAGGAATATGGATAAAAATGTCTTATTAGGATAACCGCGATTGTTCAGACTAATCTATAGCAGAAGGTACATAAGTTGAACTATGGTGTCCCGTCTCCGTGTGTTCAAGTCGTGCTTTATGATCTTGTCAAGGGAGCATAATATACTCAAAATTTTGAAGCGAACAAAAACAGTTACTACATTTGCAAGTGTACATGCAGTGATAAGCTGTGCAAAATAAGCTGTTTTTTTTTAAATTACAGGAGGTATCCTACATTTCAATAGGTTATTTTCATCCTTATTCTAGTCCCAGTCTTTCCCTCAATTCTGAAGTTGTCTTCTTTCCCAAAGGATCCCCAACGACTCCACTTATTAGCCCACATAAAATCCAAAAGCTCGAAAAAACTGCACTGCAGATTTATTATTAATTTTTTAAAAAGAAAGATCTTTGACAGTGTAACAACAATTGAGAAGGGAAGGCAAACAGATTTGCAAAATAAAAAAAAATTATCATGGAAAGCAGTTTATCCAGCAAAAGTTTGAGAGGATTAAATCAAAGAGTCCCACTAGGAGCACACTCTCAACCACACTCCCAACCACACCTCCACACTGTCCCACTAGGAGCACACTCTCAACCACACTCCCAACCACACCTCCACACTCTCTATAGTGCTAGTGGGCCATGTATGATATTTTAAAAAAAATATCATACATGGCCCACTAGCACTATAGAGAGTGTGGGGGTATGGTTGGAAGTGTGGTTGAGAGTGTGCCCCTAGCATTATTTTAAATCAAAAGGACCATACAAATAAACAAATGAAAGGCAAAGCAGCAAGTGAAGAGACTAAAGCAACCAAAACAACACCAACAAACAGCCAACTTAGGAACTTAGTAAAGAATAAGATTACAATATGAGCCTACAAAGATAAGAAGTCCACTAACAAAAATCAAAATATTCTGACAATTCATCAAGGCAGCAGTTGTAAGAATACGGTGAGGCTTAGAGAATGGTTACATGATGTCTTAATACACACTGACCATTATGAAAGGAAACACACAGAGAGAATCTTTTAGAAATAATCTTATACTAGACTTCTTTCGAGTTTTGCATAGTACATCTCTGATAGAAAAAAAGCTCAAACATCAAAAAAATCCAATTTAAGTGTTGAAAATCAATCAGAATCCAAAGCTGATTGGCATACAGGGAGGTAGTATGTGTCTAGCTGCCAGTATTTATGTTTCACACCCTCCCATATATTCTCGGCCAAGCATTCCTTAACAGGCAAAGGAATGAATTGTGTCGAGTACCCTAAATTACCAAGTTCTAAAGCAACTAACTGACAGTAAACCACATGGAAAAATGCATTACCGCCACAAAGCCCATTGAAGTATGAATAGATTCCTCCAGGCTTTAGGAGCTTGGGAAGATGCTGATGGAATTCCCTCAGGTCTTCATAGTATTCCCCATATGTGTCAAAAAATATTCCTGCTTAGAAGTAGATAATCATTAGAAATCAGTCTGTCAGAGTAATAGACTAAAAACATCTGTGATGATAGTTCATAAACAAAAACAAAATATCACAGCCAAGTATGAACTACTACAGGCCACTGTGACCGTACATTCTCATAGAACAAATGAAATGAGATCGAAAAATGAATGAAACAAGATTTTGCCAATTGACGGATGAAATCAAGTGCATTCAAATAGTTCACCTCAAAGGAAAAGAAAAGATGATAATGGACCATGCGCTGTTACTGAGAAAGTAATACAAATAATAGCACATCCTACAATCATCTCAAACCAGAAGGAAAACATCACATGGGTCAACCAACTGTTCTTATGTAGTGGTACAACAGTAAATCGATTCATAAACACCGAATAGTGAAGATAACAGAAAGAATGCAGTTCAAAGACTGCAAAAACATAACAGGGATCCATCCAAGATTCTCCTTATGTGTGTTCATACTAGATATACACCATTGATCTCTAGGTGAATCAAGAGCGCAGAGACCACCTATATACAACAAGTTCCTGTTACCCTCATCACCATAAACTTAAAAAATAGTTTAAAAGTTTATACTGAGGCAAAAGGGTAGTTGTTGAATCTACTCCTCTATACAAATGGGAAAAACCAAGATTCACTATTCATGCTACAGTTAAATATATGCTAGCAATCACTGTAGCAAACAGGAAACTAGGTACTGTAAGAACTGTAAAAAATCACTGTGGCACATGGGATACTGTAGCATTTTAAAAAATCTGTAGCAGAGGCGGGAAATGTAGCAGGAAACTTTTAAAAATCTTACTGTAGCATCAAAAATCAGTGTTACTGTGGCAGGAAAAAAAAATGATATATCGTACTTTGCATGGTGTTCACGACTAGTATAAAGGAATGTTCAGATTCTTACTACAATGTTCAGATTCTTACTACAAGCATAGAGTATGTAGATAAACAACCACAATAAATGCACACATTATGTCTTTACATTACAATTTACCTCGTAAATATCCAGGACATGTTATTTTCAACATATGAATATTGTATGAATCTTTAGCATGGTGTTTTTGTTTGTTCCTGGTTGTTGGGTTCTCTGCAAGATGTTTTGAGTCTGGACACTTCATATTCAAAGCCCAACAAAACATGAGACTATATATGAGAGCCATTACTCATTAGTGGTGGACTTTACTCATTAACAATATTCTTAGCAGGTTTCTTTGATAAATTATTTATGTTGGCATTCCTCCACTGTCGAAAAAGGGTGTTTGTGAATTGTTAGAAAGGACCCTGCTTGTAAAGTTGTCATGATCATATATAAACCTCTAAGGATCCTGTTATACAACTTCGGCACTCCTTTATTCAGTTATTATTACCATCAAAATTTTTCTCAATGGAGCAAGAAGACTATTAACAAAGGACGTACCTTTGTCTAAATCGCATAAAGCCACAAAAATTTAAGAACGCGTCTTTACAATGATAATTCACTACGCTTTATTCACGGTACGTTACTTATCTTCGTTGCCCATTAGAAACCATGTCGCGATATAAGGTCCTACATCTATGCTCCATGCTGTATATGATAATGTGCTTGAAACACTAAAGGTCCAAATTTCAATGTACATGTCCGGTTAACATATTTTTCCAACACCAAAAAGTTGGGGCAAAAGAAAAATAGGTTAAAACAGGGAAACTATTGCTGCGCTCAAATTAAAGAGCGTTTCACTAGCGGGCGTTAGAACTGCGTGACGTTTTAAATATATCTGTTGTTTCCACTACTCTCAATCAAAATGACCCTAGGCTTCATACTTTAGTGCCCCGAGCGCGCTAGCACATAATATGCAAATTGACATCATATCCTACTACATTGCATAACGGACACTGTTTTATTATGACTATGCATCAAGATCCTCACCATCAAAAGACCCGAGCTGCGATATCACGTCCTGCCACCTCCCGAACACAACCTTCACATTCTTCTTCTCCCCCCACCCGGACTTCATCATCCTGTCATAAACCTCCGGGTGCGCCTCCACGATCGTATGCTCCGTCACCCCCTCGTACTTCTGGATCGCCTCGTCCACCATCCCCATCCCAAACCCCACATTCAAAACCCTCCCCCCATTGCTGCACACCGCCCTCGCGTGCGCCTCCATCAGCGGCCCCTCCCACGCCATCATCACCGATGGGGCGCCGGCGGAGAGGAGGAGGTCGGCGGCGGCGGAGCGGTCGTGGAGGGCGGCGTGCATGAGGGGGGTGAGGCCGGAGAGTCGAAGTGGGAGGGGTCGGCGCCGGAGGAGAGGAGGGATTTGACGCGTCGGTGTCGGCCGGAGGCGGCGGCGGCGCAGAGGAGGTCTTCGGGGATTTTGACATTTGAAGTGGGCTTTTTTTTTTTTTGGTTGGCTCGGGTAGGGCTTTGGAGAGGGATATGGAGGCTGCTGGGGTTTTGGGGGAGAAACGGACAGAGGGAACCGCCGAAATAGGTTCGACGAGGATTTTTGGTGAGGTAAGTCAGGCCCACGCAAATTATTAGCACCA